CCAAGCAGGGCTGGCCCCGCTCCGCCTTCAGCGTTTCTGCCCTTCGTGCCTTTGGAACTTCGGGGTTTCAAACAGCGGCTTTTTCCCTGCCACCATAAGGTGCAGCCCATCTGACAGCTGCCAGGTGAAATCTGCTGCTCTCCTTCCTCTCCCTCAATTTCTCTGCACATCACACTCTCCAATGGCAAAGCTTCTGTTTTTAAAATTCCCATTACAATACTTAATGTTTATTTCCAGTCGGGGAAACTCCTGCCTGGGACAGAAATGACTGAAAAAGAGGAAACTTAAAAATGCCAGAACCAGATGCTGCCACATGAATCAAAGCAGGGACAGCCTCGGGATGTCCAAGGTGTGTTTTATTGTCACATCTGAAACCTCTGCTGATGGCCAGTGCCACCTTTATTTCCCCCGAGGGACCCCACAGGGCCGCCAGGATGTTGCCAGAATTGCATCTTTGGGGCCCCATCCCCTCACAGCATTCAGTGGCTCCATCCTGGGGAGCACTTCTTTCAGGGGAGCAGCAATTGCACGTGAAACTTCGATGACCACTGAGAAATAAGAGAGAGACCTGTGATAAAAAACATTTTCTTAAAGAATAAGAGCAACAATTTCTCCACAGCACTTGAGCAGCTTCGATATCCATATGACACAGCATCTAATTGCATCTCCTGATCTGATCTTGGCAAGAGGAAGAGTCACCTGCCCTCAGTGTAAATATTTAGTACACAAAATACTGTCAAGAAGGTTATAAATAGCAAATTATATGGAATATAGACATGTAATTGTCCTGATCCTGCTGAGCTTCCTCAGAACCCTTGCTGGCTCCTGACAAACCTGGTGCAAAAGCAGAAGCTCTGCATGGGAATACCCATGCTCCATGAGGCACTGTGAGGATATTCCAGCCTCAGCATGGAACTCTGGGCTGTAGCTACAATTCCTTTTGCCTTACCATAGTGACAGTGGCCCTTATTTGGTCCTGTCCTCTCATGGTTCATTTTGGAGTATCCATTTGTGCTGGTTTAGATTCCACGACTCCACCCACAGTGTGGAGGTTTGGGGTTATGCTTCTCTACTTCCAGCAGGTTCCATAAGGACCCAAAGCGGATCCCAGCTGTCCGGTCTTGGGGAAAACACCTGCACCAGCCAGGAGCTCTGACTGCTTTTCCTATCAGCTCCTGAGCAGTGTCAAGAGTCACCACGAGGGAGTTAAAACCCCAAAAAATCCCAAATCCTACAGAGTGAATAATCCAAAGGAAGACATCCGTTGTTGTCATTAAAAGCTTCAAAACCTGTTTAAAATTCTATGGAAAAATGTCATGGATTCCCAGGAACCTCATTAATGCCAGGACTGGCCCCTACAGATGGCCTGATATTTTTCCCCCAAAATACTCATTGTACTTCACAGAGCAGCTCAAGTTTTACCCCAAAATTCTCCTGACACGTTCACTGCTGACAACCTCCTTTTTACCTCAAAATGTTAATTCAGTCCATTACAAATTACTTCAAGTTTTTACTCTCAAAATGTTATTCTTGTCCCTTATGGATGACTTGGATTTTACCACCAAAACCCTCCACTATTTACCTTTAACTAATCCCTAAATTATTAATTCTGTCCCTTACAGATTACTTCAGGTTATTCACTCAAATATTCTTTGTTCCTTGCAGATTATCTCAGATTTTAAAGCCAAAACTTCACTTTACCAGTACACTACTGATTACCTCTGTTTGCCTCAAATTTTTCTTTCTTTACAGACTCAGCACCCAAGATTTTTCCTACCTGTTGCTCTTAATGACCTCATCTTACCTCACAATGTTCATTCTCTCCTTTACACAACCTCAAGTTTAGCTAGGGTTTAACCTCCAAAGTATTCACTGTACCTTACCTGGGAGCAAACCCAAAAATTCCCCTACCTGGACACTACTGATTACCTGAGCTGACCTCAAAATGTTCATGCTCTCCCCTAGATGTTACCTCAGATTTTACTGACAAAAGTTTTCCTACCTGTGCACTCCTGATTGTCTCAGTTTACTTCAAATTATCCATCCTCTGCTCAGTGGACTACCTCACATTTGCTCTGAAAATTTTCCCTACTTATGGAAAATACTACTGCTTCACTATGGGTTACCCCATTTTCCCTCAAAATGTTCATTCTTCCCCCTACAGATTAACTAAAGCTTCACTCACAATATTTTCCCTATCTGTCCACTAGTGATTACCTCATGTTTACCTCAAAAATGTTCATGCTCTGCCCTAAAGGTTATTTCAGCTTTCACCCCCAGAATTTTCCCTGTCTGTTCCCTACTGACTCCCTCAATTTACTTTAAATTCCCTTGCAACCCTGCCAGCTCTGAGCTACTCCCAAGTGCCTGGAGTGGCTTGGGGAGTGGCAGGACAACATCCTACTTTATGTTTGGAAAATATAAGACAATAAAATGTAATTTCACTTATTTCTCTGATCCATAAGCAAAGCATGTAGAGCAACACAGACTAACCATGGAAGGCCTGATTCAGTGGGGGTAAAAAATAACTTGGCCTCCTTAGAGTCCCCAAGTCCATACAAGTCCTTGGACAGCACATCCCTGAAGATAGGGGAAATGGAGTTTTAACCAGATCCCAGTAAACAGCAGAGCGTGCTGACATTTCCCAGTGAGCTAATCCCAACAGACAGGAAAAGGGAAGTGTGTCCGTCTGACTTACCCCACAGCGTGTGCAGCACCAGGTGGACTCCAGTGCAGTCCATCAGGGCTGGAGGCTCTGGGGTTTGGCTGCTCAATCCCACCCAAAACCAAAGGTTTTTGCATAGCTGGATCAAATTAAATGATTTTTCCTGTCCTGAAAGAGAGAAGAAAAGGAAAACTAAGTCCTGTACAAGTCAAAAGCTTGACTTGCTGTGCAATTCAAAAGCTCCTGGTTTTCAGATATTTGTTCTCATTGCTTATTATAGAGCATTTCATTTTAAAAAGGAGAGGTATCAGCCATATTAAATATATAACTGCCCTTCTCCAGGTTTTTTATTGGATGGAACAGTGAGGAATGAGCCCTCAATGGAGAGAACAGGACAAACACTGCGGAGAAAAAACACCAAGCAGCAGCCCCTGTGCTTGGCAGGGGGCAGGGGCATCCAATTCCATGCTACTGGCTTCCTTTTCTTTCTTTTGCAGCAATTGGTGTGGTGGTCTAAAAGCCATCTTCCTGCTTGCCACTCCCTCCACATTTTCTTCTTCAAGGGGGATGTGGCTGCAGCTCACCAGAGGCATGAAAACTTCCTTTCAATTCCATACAAAACCTACCTGAAAAGACCAGGACAGCAGGAGCAGCAAGAATTCCTTATTGTTTCTGCTCACAGGTATTTTCATTGTGCTTTGCTTCACAGGGGCTTTCCTGCCAAGCTCATTTCAATCTTACCTTATCCTGAAAAATAATTTTCAAAGTTCAGTTTGTGGAGAACCGGTTCATCTTTTGTTTATTCCTAATTTGGAGTTGTTAGTGCTACACTTGCCATGATCCTTAGGGCTCGAGGAACTTTCCAGATGGACCCAAATCTTCCCATCCAGCTTCCTTTGCTCAGTGCCCATTGTACCAGCTCACTGCCCCTTCAGAACCAGCAATGGATCTGCTTGAGCCCCAGGGCCTGTGGTGCCATGTCAGCTCAGGGCATGGAAATGGCCACAGAGCTCTTTCTGCAGCCACAACATCCCCAGGCTGCATTTCCAGGTAAGGATTTTGTTCCCTGCACAGCGGTGACCCTGTCAGTGCTTTGCTGCTGTCAGCCAGCGCCTCAGACATGATAACCTGCCAGGGAGGAATATCTGTGCCACAGGAGCATCATTCCAGACCTGGTGCTGCAAACCCTGTGCTCCTCACACCGGCTCATAGAGGACAGAACTGTCACTGCAGGCAGAAATGCTCCTTTGGGGAACACCACAAGCCATCTGTGAGGTCGCACTGGAATTCCATCTCCTGTACAAGCTGTGGGAAGCACTGAACCAAGCCATGTCCTTGCAGTCCATCTATCACTGACACTGTTGCTGCCAGCTAAAATTCTCCCTGACACCTCTCTTTCCCTGCCTGGAAAACACCCCTTCCACATCCTGCACTCTTACCTCCTTGAAAACATGAGCTGCATCCTCCTGGATCCCTCAGCTGCATCTCCTGGCTCTGGGCAGCTGTGGTGGCTGTGCCCAGGGCAGGTCACACCAATGCCGAGCAGCCTCAGGCCTGGGCTCTGCTTCTTGCAGGGAAATGCTGGCCAAGCAGGAAAATGCTTTTCCTCTCTGCATAAACAAGCAGTGACAAAAAACGACAGGTCTGGAACACCACATCAGCCAAACCTGGTGACTTTTCCACTGCCACAGGGTCCTGCGGCCAGGCATGACCCAAACCCACACCCAGCACAGCATCAGGGGAGCTAAACTGTGAATTCGGGCATTCACCAGCACTGACATTGTCAAGGCGTTCTCACACGGTGTCCTCAGCGCCAGCTGAGGGTGGAACAAACCCACCCGGACCTGTCAGCGCCTGTCCACGCCACCAGAACTGGTCCGGTTGGCAGGGAGATGGTTTTGGGACTCTGAAATGAGCACGTTTCCCAGAGCGCATCCCCGATTGCCTCCGTGTGGCGGCAGCGAGCGCGGCTCGCAGCCAAGGGCCAGAGGCCGAGCTGCTGGTCGCTATTTGTGTGCTTTCCAATAGGAGTGTCTGACAGCGCCGCCTCGGAATGCTCGTGTCTTCACCCTGCCTGTCTCCGCGCATTTCTCCCTGCGTGAAACCTGGATTTGCCTATGGCTGTGGAAGCAGTTTTGTGCACCTCTTCCAACCTCCTCAGGGTAAGGCGTACAATTCCTGACTGGAGAAGGTAGGAACACTTTGAGTTACATCACACCTTTGAGGCAACCAGACTATTGGATAGTTCATGCATATTTTTTGGGTAATTTGTAGAATCGTCTAATAGGTTGAGCCAGGAAATGTGAAATGCTGAAATTCACTGAAGGAGAACCCTGGACTAAGAAGCTTGAACAGAAGTGGAGTCCCTGGCCCATCTATTGTACTTCTCCAGTCACTGCAGCTGAAAAATTAACTCAGAGAACTTTCATTTGATCCTGATTTTCCTCTCATTTTTCCTATGATTTTGAGACTCAAGGAGTGGGGAACATCCTGATCTACATAAACTGGTAATAACAAAAGTTAAATGGCTCATTTGACAGATTTTGTCTGTTATCTCCTTTCTGCTTAATAAATAATTCATTATGTGAACAGAGCTGATCTGCCATCCTTAGAACTTGTGGGCCAGAGTGATTTCTTAAATTTAAGTGTTGACAAAAATCTGAGGCTAAGGCAGGGTTTGCCTGAAGCTGCCACTCATCCCATGACAGCCAGGAGCCCGAGGATGCCCTGGGAATTGCAGTTCACAGCCTCAGGCAGCCCTGCATGGGAAAGTCAAGTGGGTTTTCCTCTTGCTAGAGAGGAAAGGACACAGCAGGAGGGGCTGTGGGAACCTAAAAGGTCTGTGTAGTTCAGAAGCTGCACACCCCTAAAGCTTTCCCATATGTGTTCTATACTCCCATGTGTACTTCCAGCACTTTCCAAGAGAGTTTGAACGAGAATGAGCTGACTTAGTGGCAGCACAGCGTTAGCTCAGGGATGTCTGGACACTCACTAGACAGCACTCACTATGGACAGCACAGTTTCTTGTGCTTCAGGGCTCCAGCATTTCAGTAACAGCTCCATTGCAAGTGAACCTAATGAAAAACATCTGGCACTAACAATTCACATTAACCCAGGAGTGCCTGTGTGTTACCAGCTTCATGTTCACCCACTATAGTGGCAGGCACTTGACTGAAATAGAGACATCTATAACGCATTATTTTATGCTGGTTTCTGAGAGATTTATGTGCTCCTGGCATTGTTCCAATGCACTTGAACCTGGGTTCTGCTCCTTGTTGTGCTCTCAGTCCTAAAGAAGAGCTTGGATATCAACTGTGATGCAGCTCCAGCTGATGAAGTTACTGCTGCAAACAGACAGAAATCAATGGCTGGAGGAATCAACGCAGAAAAAACCCTGCATGCTTCCCAGTCCCTGCCAAACACACCCCAGTTCTCAACTGAGAGCCTAAGTCCTGTTATTATCATAGAAACTCCATTATTTCATATAGTTATGTTTTATAGGAAAGCTTTGCAGGGTAATTGCCTCTCCCAGCATCAACAGCAACCCTCAGCACTACACCAGCCCCACAGGAAATGCCACCTAAAGCTTAAACGACACGAAATCGGAAAAATGCATTAATTTAACACGAAAAAGATCAATAAGCAACCGATTTAGAAAATATTTCCCTCATAAACTGCACGGGGAGAGGCTCTGGGCTGCCAAGGCAAACTCAAGAGATCAACAGGTTCTCATCCGTGCCATGGCTTTAGCTGGGGTCACTGAGTACCTGCCCCGCAGCACATCACACACTGAAACATCACTCCAATTTCCAAACATCACAAATAGATACATTAAGCTGTATTTTTACCTCACCGAAGCAAGCAGCAGCAGCCCCAAACTGGAACATTTAAAAAGCCGCCTCCGGCACCGGCTCTTATATACCTTTGGCCGGCTCGGGATTGGCTGGCGCCGTGAGGCGATCGCAGCGCTGATTGGACAGCGGGAGGCGAGCCTTTCTTGCGCCCCGCCCCCTGCTGCCGCCGGCCGCCGAGCTCGGGTGGGGGGGGAGCGGGGATCGTGTCCCAGATCCCAGCAAAATCCCCTTTTCCTGTCTTTTCTGGCAATAAAAGCACTGACGGAGTTCCCTAAATCGGATGTGGAGTGAGTGAAGGTGTTGGCTTGTGGGAGAAATGTTCCTCCTGGGCATAAAACCGGAGTTTTTCCCTAGGGCAAATGGGCATTCTGAGATGAAAATGAGTTAACAAGCAGTGGACAGACAGGGAGGTTTTTTTTTTGTTGTTGTTTTTTTTTTTTTTTTTTTTTTTTTTTTTTTTTTTTTTTTTTTTTTTTTTTTTTGAGCGAATCTGAAGTAATCTATAGTGTGGAAAATGAAAATTTGGAGGTAAATTGAGATGTGCACATGTAGATAAAGCTGTGAGGATAAAATTCAGTAGGGAAGAGAATGATCATTTTGAGATGGAACAGTAGGGAATGTCATATTGTGGAAGTTATTCCCATTTACCTGAGGGAGGACTGCCCTGGGAATGGCTTTACCTGCGATTTGGCTCCTGTAGGTCCTTGCAGAGTGAGCCATAGTGCCCTGTGATCCTGTGCTGGTCCTTGCACAAATCCCATTCCTCACCATTCCTCCAGTGTCACTCTTGTCCCTGCTGAAGTTTGTCAGATCCAATGGGCTCTCAGGTGTTTTCCCTCCTGCTCAGAGTGACATCTCCATCTTTTTGGGTGGCTCCTATCCCCCACAACATCAAATCGAGTTCCCCAAAAAACACACACCACCAAACCCGTTTTTTATCTTTTATTCCTCAAATTTCCGCTTCCATTCTCCAGCTGCAATAATAATGGATGTGACAGAAATAACAGCAACAAAGGGGAATAAATGGAATGTGATGGAAAATGCTAAATTTTGTCATTTGAGCAGGACCCAGCTGGTGCTCACAAGGTCCGGGAAGAAGCATGATCACAAGAAAATCCAGGGACTGCTGGCTTCCAGACTGTGTCTGCAGTATTTCAGTCCATGAGAGTTACGGATAAGGGGTTCCTCACAGGCTGAAATGTGACCATAAATAGGGTTCGAGCAGCCTTGCTTCAGCTGCTCCGAGAGATTTACAGAGTCACAGCGTGTTTCACTCCATCCCGTTGTCACAGGGCTCCTTGAGCTCCTCCAGGAGCAAATCCTGCTGCTTATTCACCCAATTCCCCTCCTTAGCTGCCTGGGGAGCCGGGTGCTGGGGCGGCTGGCAGCGGGCAGCTGGCAGGATGGCAGTGCCGGGCTCTGGCTGGGAACAGGCCACCCTGGAGCAGAGCTGGAGCTTGAGGACGGCCTGGAAACCCCGGCGGAAGTTCTCGTTGCAGAAGCCGTAGATGATGGGGTTGATGCTGCTGTTGAAGAAGGCCAGCCAGTGAGCCAAGGGATAGAGGTAGATGTTGATCAGCTGCAGCTGGAGGTCGGACAGGCTGGCGTAGTCCGACAGCAGCATCAGGGTCCACAGGGGAAGCCAGGAGAGGGCGAAAAGCAAAGTGACGAGGACGAGCATTTGGATGGCTTTCCGTTTCCTCTTCCACACGCTGTGCCGCTGCTCCTGGTTGCGCTTCCCTGCCCCAGGCATGGCGGCGTGGGAGATGGAGACGCTGATCCTGGCGTACATGAGCACGATGAGCGCCAGGGGAGCCAGGTAGATGTTGGCAAAGAGAATCGTCGTGTAGATCTTCCTCATGGCCGGGTCCGGCCACTCCTCCCGGCACCAGAACACCGGGCGGGTGGCGTTGCCAGGGCCCAGGAGCACCTGGAAACGCTTCTCCTCCTGCACCTGCAGCAGCACTGCCGAGGGACACATGATGGCCACGGCCAGCACCCAGATGACGGTGATGGTGGCCACGGCAGCGGGAATGGTCAGCTTCTGCTTGAAGGGATGCACAATGCACCGGAACCTGCAGCAAGGGCAGCAGAAAAGCCGCTTAATGAACGTTTCCTTACCCAGGCAAGGATGCACACACATTTTAAGCTGACTATTTTTCATCCTCCCTATCAGTTGCTGCCTGTGCTTCTCTACTTAACCGAGGCAGGTATTAACACCTCTGCTATCCAGCTTCATGGCTGAGGAACAAACCAGTTCCAGGCTGGCTAGGATAGCCCAGTTCCACCATCTTTAAGAGATACCGGTGGAGGTGCAGATTGCTCTTTAGACCTGCCCATATTTTATTTTCCTTAGGAGCAAAATGCATCTGATTTATTGTGGTGTTGGGAGGGTTAATGAATGGGCTCAGGGTGGTCAGGGGGCCAGGGGAGATGACACTGATGGTTACAGACTCTGCAGCATCTTACCTGTCCACAGCAATAGCAACCAGAGTGAAGACAGAGGCAGAAACAGAGATGCCTTGGACCATCCCGCTCATCTTGCACACCAGGCTCCCAAAGGGCCATCCTGCAAGGAAACAGGCATTTTGGAATAGCTGCCATCTCACTGCAGGACTCTGCTTAAAATCACTTGCTGTCATCTTCCATTTCCTGAGTAGAATTATAGACTCACGGAGTGGTGTGGGTTGGAAGGGAACTCCTAAAGACCAAGGAGCTCCAGCTATGGTCAGGAATGCCGTGCCATGGGCACCTTCTACTGATGGCAGTGACTCAGAACACCCACAGAGCCCCCTGGACACGTGCCCCTGGCTCTCCCTGCCCCAGGGGCGCCCAGCCCACCTGCAATGATGTTGTCCAGGAGGGTGGTGGGCATGCAGAAGAGCCCCACCAGCAAGTCACTGACGGCCAGGTTCAGGATGAACAGGTTGGTGACCGTGCGCATGCGCTTGCTCCACAGGACGATGAAACAAACCCCCCCGTTGCCCACCATGCAGAGGAGGAAGATGAGGAGGTAGGAGGTGATGAAGACAGCAGCCACCCAAGGCTGGTGGAGGTAGAAGTCCACATAGGAGACATTTCCTTCCAAGGAAAAGTACTTGTATGTCCCGTTGTAATTCAGCAAATCCAAGTGAGGCCAAATCAATGAAGAGTTCGAATCCATTCTCCTCCTTGTCTTCTAATATGCCCTAAAAGATATTTGTAAAGAAGTTATTTTAGTCTGCTTGCAACTGATCTGAAGCAATGTGATTATATAATTATCATTATTATCTTTTAATTATCATTGTTATCTGCTTTGGGTGCACTGTGTGCTGAAATAAGTGTAACGTTCAAGTGCATCCTGGCAGCTGAGGTGGCTGAACAACAATCACTGAAAAGTCACTAACTCCATCACTGAAAAAGAGCTGTCTGCCTGCACATATCCAAATGCAGCCCCATTTCATGAACATGAGATGGTTTTGTGTGCAGTTGGTTGATTTAATTCCCTGCTCACAAGCTACATAACTCCAAGTCTGTAATCAAGGAGGACCACACTATGTCTGAACCATGCTGAGCTACAAGAGAGCTGGGTTCATTTCCAGACAGGTAACTTGACTTGGAGGAAGCATTCTGAACTTTTTTCCACATATATTTTGTCTCCTAAATGAGGATGCCTAAAGAAGCAGGGGGCAAAATTAATTGGTAGCAGCAGGCATGAAATTAAAGTATGAGTGTAGATGCTTTTAAGATGCTTCAAATTCATTAATAGAAAAGGAATTTACATTTAGGCACAAGTTATCTGAATCCTGATGAGCTTGTACAAAAGCTCAGCAAAGCTTCTGCAAGTGCTTTATTTCAGGAGGCAAGTGCAGTTAAAAAAAAAAAAAAGTATTTATTTTGCTGTGGTTCAGGTTTGAAACAAACAGAGCAGTGAAAATGAAAAACCCATCATGTTCTGGTATCTTGTGCCTGTTTTGAAATCAGCAGCAGTGAAGTGTTTTCATGAGTCTATACTTTACATACTTATTAAATGCTTGCACAGCCAGGTAGGGAGACAAAAATCTGGAATCCCTCACCAAAAACCAGTTGCTTATAGGTTTGAACAAGTGTAGGAATAGTTGTACATTCTGTGGGGCTGTCCTTACAGAGAAAGGCTTATTTATCTTGATTAGGTTTCACTCAATATGCTTTCAAAATCATTGGAAGTGATCTTATTGAGATGCCTGATGTACCAGATTCTTTCCCCAGCCAGAGCTCAGAGTCAGCCTTGTGCTGACTTGTTTTCAGCTGCTTCCTTGTTTTCCTGATCCCTCAAGGAAGCAGCACTGGTGCACTTGCACCCCAACCCGGGCTCAGGATGGGGAACGCTGATGCTGTCTCACCCCATTAAAAACCAATATTCCTCCTGCTCCCTTAGACTTACTGTTGCTCTCTTTGCTGCTCTTCCCCACATTACTATTATTATTATTACCCACTAATTTTCTTCCATAACCTTTTACTTCCCAGAGGAGTTGCTTTAGGGAGACACTGAGGTTGGAGGAAGGTGGCTTTTGGCTGCCACCACACTCCCAGTCCCCACAGCCAGCTGTCCCTATGCTGTCCCCAGAGGTGCCTTTCCTTCCTTACCTGCTGGAGTTTGGCTTTTCGAGGGGACTCTGATGATCTGAGGCAGAAGTTCTTGGTCATGCCATGACAAGGCTGTCCCTTGTCACACTAAAAGCAGGAGGAATAATGGTTATTCTGGATACATATTTTGTGTTTTCTCTGTTTCTGACACTGTGTTTTGAGGCAGCAGCTTCTAATATCTTCAGTAATGATCTTTGGAATAGTTTTTGTCAAAAGCTGGTAAACAAGAAGTTGTAAACAGCCTTGAGGCAAAACTGGAGCTGTGTGTCATCCCAGTTGCACTAATGAAATTTTGACTGTGGCAGGCATAGGGAAGTGGCTGTACAAACACTGCAGATAACAGGAAATGGAAAAGCTCCACGGATTTCCATTATCTTGAAGCTGAGGGGGAGGAGGATTGGCTGGAAGGATAAATTAAGCCAGTGCCTTGTGTTTTCACAGGGACCTTGCCTGCTAAAACAATCAGTGATAAATAATTGAGAGAGGCACAGAGGACAGAAATATAAATCATCTAAGAAAAAGAAAAAAATTGTGCAATACCTAATTGTTATAAGATGATAAATAACAGTAATTTGCTTCCACGTGGTAACTTGATAAGAGCAAGGCCTCCCTTCTTCATTTAATACACCAGAGAAAATCTGCAAGGGAATAAAGCGGGAGGCTCCCTGAGTGAAAACCTGCTCCAACCCACACAGGGTTCCCAAAAACAGGAGGCTCATTCCCTGCTGGAATCCCAGACACAGCCTCCACAGACAAACACACAGTTTAACACCTCACAGCCTGACCAGGACAATCTTGTACCTCTGGCTACAGAAATTCAGTTTCCCACCTTTAGAGTAGCAGTTCAAAGCCATTATGAAGTGATGGGATTATTTTTATGTTGGGCACGTGGAAGAAATCCCCCGGAGCAGCCAACACTGCTTCACCCCTGTGCACAACCTGCTGGGTTTGTCATCTTGATGTCTTGATTTTCATGTGTGAAATACCCTCTGAGGCTGAAACAAAAATAAGGAAACTTCAGAGACAGCAGGAACATGTAGTTGTACATGAAGAACAGTTAATGTGGTAAGTGCTAAAAAATGTGTTCTTCTCTTGTCCTGAGCTCAGTAACAGCACAACAGAGGTCCCCAGTTCCCAAGGTTTCCCACCTTGGAAAATGATCCCTGGTCTGCTGAAAAGTGAGAAACTCTCAGGGGCAAAACACAGCCCCTGAAGGATGGCAAAAAGAACAGGACACTGGTCTGTGAGTGTCTGAGAAATAGGGGAGAGAGAAATTTATAGATCATCCTCTGCCTCAGGGAACCACTGACTGAAAAACTGAAATGGTGCTCCACAGGGACCCCATGCACAGACTGTGGGAATCTGGGCTCATCTTTGCTTCTTTTTCAGAGCAAGGGGGAGCTGCAGTCATCCCAAATCCCCCAATCCCAGTTCCTGTGGCTCAGGGAGTGGTGCAGGAGTTGTTTGGTCTGGGTCATGCAGGGCTTCAGCTGGGGACTCTGGGGATATTTGTGAATTAAGGTAGTAGAACTTACTCTTCAAGTATTTACCTTTTTCATCCATCAGTATTTCTATGACATTTTATATGACATACCTTAGAGTGGTTTATCTCCAAATAAGCCAAAATATCCCAGTATGCAGCTGGGAGAAAGGAGCTGTGGAAGCAAACACACCCTAAAAATATGCAGTTGCAATCAAATCATTTTTTCTCACTGACATTTACTTTCATAAAGAAAAACAAGTGCACCTTGAGAAGCAAATTTCTTATTTTGAAATGAGCAATCCCAGGGAGATGTGCCAATCTTGGAGCTGCACACACATCTCCTCTCAATGGAGTTAAACTGCTTATCCTCCCCTCAGAGTCATTTATCTGCATAGTCTGAGCTGGGGCCAAAGATAATAGTTTGTAGGTATTTATTTTTAAAATAGGTATTCCTTTTTAAAAGATCTCAAACTTCAAATTATGAAGAACAAGGCTATCAGCAGAATGACTGCAATAAATACCAGACTTAGTTGCAGATTACTTATCCACTTGAGCTGGGAATAGAAAATATTTCACTCCAAAGCCAAATCATAAGCATAAATCAGGAGATGCAAATGGCAGGTGAGGCATTCACTATTGCTATTGTTATGGGTCTCTCTCTATATTTTTATATATTTGTTTTAATATATAATTTCCACCCTGCTTCATTAGAGCCAAGGCTGCTTACCTATTCCTTGTCATTATAATTTTTTTTCACTTTGTGCTTAGTCAACCTTTAAGCTTCTATATATATATTTTTTTTTATTTGATATGTCACAGGCTGTTTAAAACCTTAACTAAAATCTCAGCCAACTGTTGCCTGAAATCAGGTTAAAGTAATATTTCCATACCCAGGCACACTTATGCCACCACTTTATTGAGAAGCCTGGCAAGCAATAAGATTTCAGCTGCCTTACCTTGGAAGCAAGTCCCTGTTTTAAAAGCTTTCAGTAGGAAATTATTCAAGTTCTTCTGGGATCCAGTCTCCAAGTAGCAGCTTCCTATCCATCACTGGAAACTGGGCAGGGACCCTACAAAATATCTGGACTGGCCACAGCTTTTCCCCTGGAGAGATGCTCCAGCAGCGTTCAGCTGTGAAGTGCTGGGGATTAGTCTATAGGAAGAGAAAAATCAATGATCCCTGCCAGGCTCTTGGCAGCACTAAATTCCCCACTTATGGGATATGAGCTTCCTAAATTGCACCTTTCAGTTCAGCCTCTGCCCGTGAGTCACTCCCTGACAGTCCTGTCATTTGGGGCTCTGAAACTGAGGAGAGTAATTTGGGAGCATGTAGAAGGAGGTTAAAAAAAAAACCCAAAAAACCAAACCAATCCTGAAAAGTGGGACAATCATGAGATAGTCTCAGTGGAGGATAGAATTGGCAAACAAAAGTGTTTTAGGAGTCCATCAGCCAGTGGGGGCTAATTCACCAGGTACAGGAGACAGCTCTGCCAGCATGTAGCTTATGTCCCCCCTCAAAATGGGGGGCACAGAGGATCCTGTAATCACTGCCAAGTGAAAGACCAGAAGAAAACCAAACCAAACCAATGCAGAGAGCACATCACAAGGGTTCTTTTCACCAGGTGATGCCTCTGCTTCAAGCCAAAACTGAGCAAGAGCCATAGAATTGTTTGATTTCCATCTCTTTTAGCAGGAAGTGCCATTGACAGGCATGAGAGCAGACAGCCCATGGCTTGGTCACACAGGGCATCATGACTTCAAGCCTGTCACAGTAAAGAGCATTTTACCCCCCACCCAAGCTCCTGGGCTGCAGAACATTGGATTTTGCCTCACTAGAAATGAGGCAGAGAAGCCTGCCTGGCCCAAGGGCAGAAGAGGTGAGCTCCCCGTGCAGCACCATGGGGTTGGATCCTGAACACTCCACCACAGCCTGATGCTGGATTTGCCCAGAGGCAACACCTTTAGTCTTAAATAACTGTGCAGGCAGCAGAGGAGAAGAACTGGCTCTGCAGGTGACAGCAGAGGTTTAAATGCAGTGTCACCTCTCCAGAAAGAGGATGGTTGTGGAAGGGCTGAACTCTCCCTGTACCTTCTGTTTCCATTTACATCACCATCCACATCCACACAGGGACTT